GCTGCAAGAGAGGCAGGGAGCAGGGCCAGGCCTCCACTCTCCCAGAGCTCCCGGGGGACTGTCTGAGCCAGGGAAGGGGCTCTAGAAGCTGGACAGGCGCCCTTCCCACACTTCCCAGGACCAGTGAGCCCTGTGCCCTCCAGCTGTGCCAGCCCTGCCTCCACCAGGCCACCAGGCCCTCATCCCTCCCGTGCGTCCTGCTCCTCCATGCTCTGGGCTGGGTATGAGCAGCTCCCCAGTGGAGAAAGGGCTTCCTCCCTGCCCTACCCAACCCCTAATGGTGCCCACTGTCTGTTTCAGTGCAGATACTTCTCATGGAGGGACATGTCATGTCTGTCCTCAGCTGCAGCCAGGTCTCCCATGTGGTCCTGTGGCCCTACTCTTGAGCTAAACCACAAGTTTGTGTGAGCACTGACCTACGCTGACAGAAGAGAAAAAGTCTTGCTTGTTCACTACAGCCTTTGGTTTATGGTCTGGGTTACAGATATCAAAAGAGTCCAATGACAGAGGGTTGATCCTTCTTCCAAGTGCCCTTTTACAACCCCCCAAAAAACTCAGTGGTCAGACAAGTGAGGCTAGTGGGGTGCCCCTTGGTCAAGAGCTGTCACTGAAGCTCCCAAAGCCCATGGGAACAAAGCCCAGTTTCCTGCCCAGCCATCTGGGCAGCCCTACACATGGCCTCACCCCAGGCCCCACCACACTTCAGCTCATTGGACCCCACAGCAATCCTGGAGGATGAGGTTCCCAATAAAGGCCCAGGTGGGCAGTCTGAGCCACCAGCCATCTGTGAGGCTGACAGAGGAAAGGAGCAAATGAAACACCGGGACACAGAGGTATGCACGTGGACATCAACCTGCCTGCAGGCTGGGACCCTGAGGGGGCCGCGGTGACTCAGGAGCAGAAGCCCCCTCCCCACAGGACTGGGCAGCAGGATGGGCTAGTCCTTGGCCTGGGGAACAGACCAAGAGGGCACACTTGCAGACAACCCGCCCTGCCAGGCCACTTCTGAGCAGGCTCACCTGGATGGAAGAGGAAGCCTCTGAATCACAAGCTCTTCCCGCCCAGAGGATCTCAGGCCTGGGGGATTCTGGGCCTTTCCCCTTCCTTCCTGATACTCCCTTCACACAGCACAGTGGCACCTTAGTACTTGTCATTATTTCTGAGAGGTGCAACAAGTACCAAATCCAGTGAGTTGCAAGCAAACTGACTTGGCTGGAGAGTGTGGTAATGTATGAGGTAATGAATACAGGCAAGTTCTAGCTTGCTTGCTGAGTACCAGTGATGACAAGTACTAGCAATATACTTGTGTATCAAAACGCATCAAATACTATATATCAAGTTAAGACTCTACTCAGAAGCTCCTGCAAAGTGCTACAGCAGCTCTCAGCGGCCCAAGTAGGGCCGCAGTGAGAGGTGGGCGGGTTGCCCCTGGGGCACTGTCGCTGGGTCTGAGGACCCTGAACCTGGGTGGACACTGGGAAGTGGATGGGAAACCCAGGCAGAGGCTGCTGAAGTTTAAACAGGAGCTCTGTCATGGGGACAAGTGGCACAGGGCTGTGCTGGTACACACTTGTGCCTGCCACTGCATGGTGATGCTAGGACTAAGAACCTCATCCCAGGGGGACACAGGTCTGTGGAGCCCAGCTCGTTCAGCCAGAGGCCCCTTTGGAAAGATTGACACTGCCCTAGGCTACCAGCGAGCTGGTTTCTTTTTTTAATCTTTTATTTATTTATTTATTTATTTATTTATTTATTTATTTGGTAGAGGGTCTCGCTATATAGTTCAGACTCACGGTGATCTTCCTGTCTCAGCCTCCCCAGTGCTGGGATTACAGGTGTGCGCTACCAGGCCGTTATATGCTGGGGCCAGCACAGCGTGCGTACTGGGGAACGAACCTGGCTCCTTGCACTTACCAGGCAGGTGCTTAGACCATTGAGCTATCTCCCCAGCCCCAGGCTTTTATTTTCAATGAACAAAAAATAAAGCAGGATACAAACTTATGCTTCCAGTCTTTATGATGTCTAAATGACCCATAAAGTTACAAATTAGGTGAAGGATGCCCATAAGACAGTTTAACATAATAATGCAATTAAGGCATGGCTAACAGTGAAGTATGACTTTGGTTTTTTTTTTGAGGAACCGCGTATTGAACTCAGGCCCTTGCGCTTGCCTGGCAAGCACTTTTTCTACTGAGCTATCTCCCCAGCCCTAAAGTATAACTTTTGAATTGTGAAGAAATATACATACCATCAATCAAATTTACCCTTCTAACTGCTGCCCAGCATGCAGCACAGGGGCGTGAGGTACACTCCCATTGGGCTGCCATCGCTACCATCCACCTCGAGTACTTCATCGTGAACAGCTCTGCTCCCCCTTGAACGCTGCACGTGAACTTGGATGAAATCACAGCCTCACCTCTGCGATCGTCAGGAGCTCTGGCATCCTGAGTTGGCACGAATGGCTACCGCATCGCTTTACTTCAGCCACAACTTCCTTCCTGTTACCCGACGTTCCCAGACGGGCTCTCAACACAGCCTGCTGAGGAAGTTCATTATCTATGTCACAGGAAAAGAGATTCGTAGTACCATCACAGAAAACAGATTCGCAGTATGAGGGATACACAAGGATTTATTAGGCAGAATTACAGTACACAAAACAGAGGGCGAACCCTCTGGAGGCACATTATGGTCTCAGGTTGGGAGTGAGTTCTTGGAGGAATCCTTTAAGATAGGTGAGCTAAGCTACCACATCTTGAGGTTGCCGCTCTTCATTAAAGGTTCTTGCCATGTAGCCCAGGGTAGCCTCAAGCTGGAGGCAATCCTCCTGCCTCAGCCCAGAGTACTGAGATACACGTATATACCTGGCTCTTCATCACCTAATTTATGGACTTTGGAAGGAAAAAAAAAAGCCTAGGTGTATAAACTAGTCTGAGTATGAATAAGCTCAGAGCGTTAATGTCATGTGTGGAATAAAGATAGGGATAACCCTGGGTAACTTTTTGAGATAGGGTCTCACTATGCCGTTCAGGCTGGCCTTGAGCTCACTTTGTAGCCCAGGCTGGTCTCAAGTTCACAATGATCCTCCTGCCTCAGCCTCCTGAGTGTTGGGATTACAGGTGCGCGCCACCATGCCTGGTTCACTCTGGATGCCTTTAGTGTAATCTTCTTAAAGTTTACAACTTTCAAGTTATGATTCTCCTTGTCTCCTTTCTACCTATCTTTATTTCTTCTGTCCTACCTCACCAGTGTCACTTGGGCTTTGCTTGGGGAGAATCCTCTCCCTTCCTTCAATCTGCCTGTCCTTCAGTATAGTTCATGGGCTTGCCATACACAGTTTTTGCCACAGCATCTCTACTTAGAGCACAATTCAGAGACTAAAGGCTATTTGAGTGAAAATGCCGTCCCACTGTGAATTTTCTTTGAAAAAGTTAAATTAGGGTGACTGGGTACTTTGGCACAAATAAAGGCAGCTCCAAGTCACATTCCCCATCTGGTTCCAAACTCTGTCCTATAAGGGGACTGTGTGGTCAGAGTATGTGGTTTCAAACTCTGTCCTGTATGGGGATTGTGTGGCTACATGATTCCGAATAGTTATCATGGAATTAAAAATGAAACTAACACTGTGCACAGAGCACTTGTGGCTTTTCAGGAGGCAGGGGTCTGATTATGGCTGCTGGTGGGGCTGGGCTGAGCTGGGCCAAGGCAAGAGCAGAGGCGGGAGATAATAGGTCCCTCCACCCTGGTCCACAGCAGGAGGTGGTGGTATTGGGATCGAGGGTAGCAGCATAGGACAGAAGAGAAAGTGACCGAGAGAGATGCTTATGAGGCACTGGATTGGTGACCTGGTTCTGCTGTGGGGGAGGAGTGTGCCCAAGGGAGAAGAGGCTGGCCAGGTAGGCACAAGAGTGAGCATCCGGGAAAGAACCAGGCCCAGCATCCACGTCCCCAGGATCTGCATGCTGACATGGCAAAAGGGATGTTACCCAGTGGTTCACTGAGGGAAGCTGTGATGGGAAGATGATCCCAGGCTACTCAGATGCCACAAAGTGACCACAGGGCCCCTTGCAGTGGGAGCGGGAAGAGGGAGACAGCAATGGGAAGATTTCGAGCTGGAAGCGCAGGTGAGCACAAGCTGCCAGAGATCGTCCTCATGACAAGGGGCCAGCCCTGCTCACACCTGACTTGAGCCCCCCCCCCCGGGAGATCCACTTTGGATCCTTAAGAAAAAGGTGAGTTAAGCCAGTAAACCAGCAGTGATTTGTTGTAACTGCCACAGGAAAGTCATACAAGGAGTCAGGATGGTCTTAGTAGAGCCACTGTCAGCAAGGCAGCAGGGCCTCCAGAAAAGAAGTGGGCTACAGGATCTGGGCCGGGCCAGGCCGAGGAGGGGTCTGTGCTCCGTAGTGAGATACGAGGGCCTGGCACCTGGGAAGAGGAAGAGTTGTTCACGGCAAGAAAGGTGAAGAACAGCACTCAGAGCCAAAGTGCTCACTGGCAGTGGCAATCGGCAACTCCAGCAGGGGGAGCCTAGGGTGCAGCAGGCTTGGGTGTGGGTCAAGGAGCCTAGGCGTGACTGCTGGGGACGGGTGGGTGAAAGAAGCCCCTGTGCGGTGGAGTTGGGAAGGCAGGGCTGCTCGGTGTGTGGAGGCCACTTGTTATAGCAAGGAAGGGAGAGGACTGCTTCTTTTTAACAAGTGAAGCCCACAGATTCTTAGTATTTACTGATGGCCCCTTTAGGCTGATGGGGCCACTAGGGGCACAGCCAGAACTCAAACCCAGGCCAGACCCGAGAGGCCGTGTGCTCTCCCGCTCCCCGTGCACATGCCCTGCTAGACAGTCCACGTGCCAATTACTGCATCTGCAGGACAATTTTTAAAAACTGAGAAATGAGCCAGGTGTGGTGGCGCACACCTGTATTCCTAGCACTTAGGAGGCTGAGGCACGAGGACTGCTGCCAGTTTTGAAGCCAACCTGAGCTACATAGTGAGTCCAAGGCCAGCCTGAACTATGTAACAAGACTTTGTCTCAAAACAACAACAAAACTCCCTGAAAAATGCATCTCAGAAAGCACAGGCAAAGTTCACCATCCAGGACATAATTCTCATTATTAACTACCCGCCGCCATCATCAGCTCAGTGCTTTGTGAGCACTCCTGCCTTTTCCCTTCTATTCTTACTAAGTGGGGGCACCCCAAGCTCCCGAGGGCAGGCTGCTGTCCTGCTCGGTCAGATCCTCCGCACCTGCAGTGCCTTGACAGCGGCTGCTCTGTGAAGAAACCGAGGCCCAGTGACGGATGCCTGTTTGGCTCTGGGTTCCCCTTTCGGGGTGGTTTCCTGTGTTGCGTGGTCCTACATTATGGTGCTCTCAGCTTTGCTGCCAGGAGCTGGTCCCCCTCCTGCCCATCCCAGGATGGACAATGGTGTGGTCCCGCAGAGAGACAGAGGACTTCCGACTCTGGGAATGACGGCATCTCAACCTCCAAGCTTCCTGCTGGGTGCCTCTGAGGGCAAGGGAGGCCGGGTGGAGCCCAGTTCTGCTCCGGACTCCTGCTCCTCCACTGGAAAGAGTAGCCAGGAAGCCACAGAGGAGCTTTTCAAAGGCCAGAGCCACAGTTCAGTGGGACAGTGCACCTCAGGACCTTAACTAAGGACTTGATAATCCAGTTAAGGTAGCACAGCATGGCACATACGGCTTTTTTTACATTCACAGCTAGGAAGCTGGGACAAAAATGCAGCTGCTTGGCTTTGGTTCTGCGCTTGTCAGAGGCAGGCAGATCCCACAGGGCACAGCTGCCCTCCTGCTACCCACCCTCTGCTCGCGGTCAGTGCTCTTTAGCGGAGAGCGCCACCCACTCACAGGTGAGCGCACGGTGGACTGGCAGTGCTATGCTGCGATTCCAGGGAAGGCGCAAGGTCAAGTGTCCTCCAAAGGACGAGGAACTGTGAGTGAGTTTCCAGCAGAAGGGCACTTGTTCAACAGATCACAGGCAGGGCTGGTTTCTCCCTTTACAGGATCCTGTTCTCTTGCTCGTTGTCATCACAGTGATTTTGATACAAAATGGTAAATTGCACAGTTGTAACAATCACCTTCTTGTAAGAGCATTTCCTGAGTGCTGCCTGCACAGCCACTTGAGAAATTCTGAGGCCTTCCGTCAATCTGTCCCAACAGCTACCACTGTCCCTCCTGTCAGGTTTTTCTTTGGTCATCTGAGACAGGGTCTCACTATGCAGTTCAGGCTGGCCACGAACTCACTTTGTAGCCCAGGATGGTCTCAATCTCGCAACAATCCTTCTGCCTCAGCCTTGCAAGTGCTGCGATTACAGGTCTGCACCAAGACGCCGGCCTTGCAGACTCTGCTCACCCAGCGCCCAGAGGGTGTGTGGGTGTTTGGACTCCGAGGCAGGATGCCACTTGGCTCTGGTGTCCAGATCTACCCTGATGTGGAGGCAGCAGCAGGACAGTGGTTAGAAGTGTGGGCTTAGAGCCAGATGTGCTGTCTTCCTTCGACACCCTCCTGCTCTCCATCACCTGCAGAGGTGACAGTGACGACCACCAAGGTCAAAGTTTCCTTCTAGGTGTTCCTCAGGTGCAACCTTCTCCTGCAGGTGCTTACTGAACAAAGGTGACAGAACCCCTGTCCTAGGGCGACAGTAAGGAAAATATGGGAGTATCTCTGTACAGTGCCCAAACCCCAGCCTCATGGATGCTCAGTAAACTCAATTTTTACTTAGAAGTGATGGGGCTGCAGCCACAAAAGCAAGGCCCTCTGCCTGGCTTCTTGGGGTCTTTATAGTACTGGGCACCAAAGACACTGGGCTGTTCTCAGTGGACAGCACCAAGTGGACGTGTCCTCCAGAGGAGTGGTGGGGTTATGAAGGCTCCTTTCAGGAAGATGCATCTGATTCTCATGTCATTGGGGACATGCTTTGGATCTTATTTTGGGACTCCTGGGCCTGCTGCTTCTCCTCCACGAGATCGGCCACCAGGTTCATCTTGCAGTCCCTGAGCACCTGCACCAGGTGGGTCACAGTTGCGTTCTCCTTCTCCAAGTTCTTCCAGATCCTCAGCGACTCCCTCACACGTTCTGCCAGGTTGCGGGGGTATTGTTCCTCAATTGCATCAATCTTGGTGTCAGAAACATTAAGCTGACGGGCCAGTCTTCTCCAGTCTCGTCCCACATTATCGCAGATGATGTCAAATGCTGCACGCAGGCCTGGGAGGGAAAACGCAATGTGATTTATTGGAAGTTTGCAGAACTTGTCCCCCATTGCCCTGGGGACTTCAGTACTTCCTGGATCAGGCTGCAGGTCCTGTGCTGAGCCTAGAGTCAGCCAGCAGCACAAGGGCTGTTATAGAAAGCCCAAGATTGGCATCTAATTCTGTCCTGGCCAGCCCCCACCCCTTAATGGGTCACCTGCGTAGGAGTGGGGGAACTGACTGAGAGGCTGGGGAGTTCCCAGAGAGAAGAAAACAGGGTTGCCCTCATATCACATTCTATAGTGCGTTGAATGATAATCCTTGAAAGCCATCTCCATGTCAAATTCCTGCAACTCTGTGTTCGTGTATTTAGAAAAATACCTTTACAAAGGATCATGAGAGGAGATCATATTAGATTATGTAGGTAGACCTTAAATCCAACAACAGCTGTCTTCAGGAGGTACACAGAGAACCAAATGTGACAGCACACACCTGAACTCCCAGCACTCTGAGAGGCTGAGGCAGAAGAATCATAAACTAGACCCCAGTCTGGGCAAGATCTTGTATCAAAATAATAAGTGCTGGGGGTATAGCTCAGTGCAAAGAGCCTGGGCTTAGTCCTCAGAACTGCAAAACACCAAGTGGTTGGGTCTGGGGAGAGAGCTTGGTGGTCTAAGTGCCTGCCTGGCAATTGCAAGGACCCGAGTTTGATCCCTGGTACCATATGCTGTGCGGGCCCCGGAACAGGGCGTAATCCCAGAGCTTGGGAGTCTGAACTACATAGCAATACCTTGTACCAAATAAATAAACAAATTAATTAAGAAAAAAATAGAAAAAAAAAAAAAAAACTAGAGGTGGCCATGTGGCTGAATTTAGAGTGGTGTGGCCACAAGCCAAGGAAGGGGCCCCAGAAGCTGTACAGGACAAGGAAGGGTGGCTCCTGAGCCTCAGATGGTGTGTGGCCCTGTAGGTACCTGGCTTCTCCAGATTTCTGGCCTCCAGACCGTGAGATGATACATTTCTATTCCTATTGCTTTCGTTTTTTTGTTTGAGATTGTCTCAGTACCTAGTCCAGGCGACACTCACAGTTGTAGTGTCGGTCCTCCTGCCTCAGCCTTCCCTATGCTGGGGTTATAGGTGTGCCCCACCACACTCAGCATTCTTAGTGCTTTAAGCCACCACGTTAGTGATCGCTTGTTATGACAGTTGCAGGAAACTGGCACACACCCAATTCTTGGCTGCCCTGACCATCAGATTTGGATCCTTGGCCACTGTGCCCCTTGGCTGAATGGTCACTACTGTGATCAGAGAGCTGACCACTGCAGACTATAATAGGCTTTTTCTGGAATCTGGGTGGGAGAGGAGCGCTGAGCAGGGCAGGACAAGGTGCTGCAAGGAGAACCGCTGAAAATCCAACCTCTTCCTACATATCAGGGACACTGTTGGCACTTGTGCCAATTCCTACAACTCTGACAGCCCTGAGAGTGAGGAAACAGGCATGGGGATATTAAGGCTTCCCTGGCATCATCTGGAAAATGGTACAGCGAGGCTTCAAGTGCTGAAGCTGGCACCAGAGCCTGTCTTTAAAGACAGGAGTAGGAAATCAGCCACTCCCCGCCCACCCATACATGCTGCACCCGTACCGACCTGTGTACTTTCTTCCCACAGCCAGTAACTACATAATTCCATAAAGAAAAACACACACAGCCACACCCACACAAGCACAGGTCTAAGAAGTATATACATACTTTCAGCACTGTCTTTTAAACCTATCTGCATTTCCTCATCATTAAACGTCCACGAAACGTTTTTCCGTGTGCAGTTGTGTGTGTCCGACAGTGCTGTGGCAGAGCCTGAGTGCCACAGGCTGAGCTGTGCTGTCTCCAGGGGGCCACAACAGGCAGCTGCTCTTCCACAGTCATACTCAAGGTGTCACAGTTAATTCCCTCTTTGGATCACAGACTTCATGGTCAATTGCAAGCTACTGCCAGGGGCCCGTGAGGCGTGTCCCCAAGGTGCTTTCCAAGTTCCCTCTCTGGGGCTCTGAGAACATGGAAACGAGGCTGAGAAATCCTCAACTCTGGTCTCACTTTTACTCCTGAAACTCCTGCAAGCTATAAAAGTAGAGAGGAGGTGACAGATCATGGAGGAAGAACTCCATTAAAGACGCAGTGCTGGGACTGACACTGAGTATTCCTTATCTAATACCTGAATATCTGCATAATCATAAAGAGGGATTTCGGGACCCCAGTCTACATGTGAAATTCCCATTTTCTTATACAGCTTAGACACCTTAAAGTAGTCTGAAGCTAACTTTACAAAGTCCCATAAAAACTGTGTGCAGGAAACAAACTTTAATGATACAGAATATCCTAGTTGTAGCATTCTGTCAGAGCTCAACGTTTTTAAAGTACTTGGCACTTCAAAGTTGAGACTTTTAGAAGAGGATGTTCAGTAAGAACATCCTGACCTGGGGGTAGGTTGTCTTGGTTTACTTCTGGCTCTGTTAGCCGTCCACATAACATCTCTGAGCCACAGTCCCCCCTGGGAAAGGTGGGAATGATGATAAATACCAGTGTATTCCTCAGCTTTCCCCAGGAGATTCAACGCTGGCCACCCATAACTTAAGGAGAGGCTTATTCTGGCTCCTGGTTTCAGAGGCCCTACCCACGGCCGACTGCTTCTAAGGTAGAAATGGCACGCTGGACAGGCACAGGAAAGCTGCGCTCCCTATGGCAGTCAGGACGCAGAGAAGGAAGATGTGTGGGACAAGAACACACCCTTCCCGGTAACACTCCCAGCGACCACCCGCACGCAGGCCCGAGCTGCACATTCAGCAATAAACTCAATGGATTAAAGCACCGACGAGCACAGCATTCCTGCAAACCATCACCTTTTGGAAGTGCCATCTCTGAACACCAGAGGCTTCTGGAGGGCACTTCAGATCTAAACCATAACAAATAGTACGTAACTGGGCTACTGTGAACATGAAGCAGTATGTTAAGTGTGTAGTGTCACTCTGTGAATCCGTGGATTAGAGTTATTAAGCGAGGCACAATTCTACCCGGATGGAAACAGGCATTATCGGCCGGGCCCACTCGCAGGGGCAGAAGGGAAAGGACCGCAACAACAGGCTCAGCTGACCTCTGACCACCTCCCGGGACTCCTCCAGTCCCTCCTGACGTTAGCAAGGCCTCCTTCTTCGCTTTGTAATTTTCCTCGGAGTGGTACAGTAAACACCGAGGGTCACAGAGGGTGGTGTCCAGGCTCTGCAACCTCGAGGGAATTAATTCATTTTTCTGAGTTCTGATTCTCCCATCTTCAAAGCAGGTGTGCCACCCGCGCCGGAGCCTTCTGGAGAGAACCCACGCAAAGCGAATCCGGCAAAGGTCAGACGCCCGGTGGGGTCTCACGGACTACGGCTGGGCAAACTCGTCCTGCCTCCAAAGCCCCAGCACACTCACCTGCCTCCTCCGGCGAGGCCCCCGCGGTCGCACCCGCCTCGAAGTCGTCTAGGCGCTGCAGCAGGTCGACGCGCCGCAGGGAGGTCAGCAGCTCGCGCAGCAGCTGGGTGCGCTGGCGTTCCAACTCGTTCTGCTCTAGCAGCACCAAGAAGAGGTCGAGGCCACAATGTATACGCTCCAGCTTCCTCTTGCTCACGAGTTTGTGGCATAAGAACTTGAGCTCGGTCAGCTCGCTGTTCGACAGGCCGGTCGACAAAGAGTGCAGCAACACCAGGAATGGGTCCATGGCGCCCAGAGTTGTCGGATCAGGACCTCTGCGTTCGCAGTTTGAGTAACAGCCACCCCTCCCTGAAACCGGTAATTAGCTCACACTTCCAGGACCCGACTGCCAGCGGAAATCACTCCAGACTTCCTTTTCTGAAACATCGCGAGACTATGAGATCTGCGCATGCTCTTTGAGCCCAACAGTAGCCGCTTCCGCCCGGACTGGTTCGACCCAGTTTGCGGCTACCTCTGCGCCTGCGCTTCGCGGATCTTTTTCCTGGCGCAAACCTAGAGCGTTAGGAATTACTACGTTCCACTGGTGTGTGCGGAAGTGGCACCAGAGGCAAGGTGCCACGCCGCTTTGCGGAGCGCTGGGGCGGGGCTGGGATGGCACCTATGAGCCTGCGTGGCCCCAGTCGCTGTAGGGTTTCGTTAAATCATATATGTTGCCGTGCGTCCTGGCGCACTCATGTCACCCCCGCGCTCAGAGGCAGGAGGATGGCTGCAAATTGGAGGCCTGCTTGGGCTACATTGTGAGTCCAAGGCCAACGTGAACGACATAGCCAGACCCTGTCTCAAAAAAAAAAAAAAAAATTATACATGTTAACATTTCCAAATATATTGGAAGTGAATTCGGTAGTGTTGAGTTCGTGTCTCTTTATACGAGGGGTTGGGGAGATAGCTCAGTAGAGTAAGTGCTTGCCTGGCAAGCGCAAGGTCCTGAGTTCAATCCCCAGTTCTGCAATAAATAAATAAATAAATAAATAAATGAATGAATGAATAAATAAAATAAAAGAATGAATATGAGAACAAAGGAGGTTAAGAGTGGGAAAAGTTTATTAAGGTAAAGCTCCTGAAAGACAGGACGGGGCCTGAAAATGGGTTGCCCCTGGCCCTCTTTGGAGATTTTTATACAGGAAAAGGACTACGGTTCAAGCACTCTCAGTCAGCTGAGGCCAATGTTGGGTTCCAGTAGCATACCTACTATTGATCCAATAGAAAAGGGAGACGTATAGCAAGGGGATATGGTGACAACTAATTTTAGCTTATATAAACCTTTTTTTTTTAAAAAAAATTATTTTAATCTTTATTTAATTATTTGGTACAGAGACTCGCTACTTAGCTCGGACTCATAATGATCCTCCTATCTCAGCCTCCCCAGACGTGGGATTACAGGCATGTGCCACCATGCCCGGTTTGGGTGGCCAGCTCTGCGCAGGGCCAGGCACGCTTTCCAGGCAGGCGCTTAGACCACCAAGCTATCTCCCCAACCCTATGTAAAGCTGCGAATGTAGAAAGCTCAGAAATTTTGGAGAGAGGGATAGGAGCCTGGGTCTAAGCAGTCTGGTCACCCACCTATGCATCTCGGACACCTGAGCTAGGCTTTCTGAACTAGGGGCTGCTGATTACAGCGCAATCTCAAGCTGTTGTTTTCCATCTATAGGGAGGCTGCAGGTCTGGTTCTCTTCCTCATTGTGTCCAGCCTCCATCTTGGTGTGTCTCATCTTCTGTACTGACTCCTTCGAGGGCCAGGTCCGTCTCTGACTGCCTGTTCATTTCTGTCTAACTTAGTTGCCTATAAAAGATTATGAAAGCATCATCACTTCCATCTAATTTTAAAACATTTTCGTAGCACCAGCCCCAAACTTGATACGTAGTAGCAATCACCCTATCCTCCTATCTCAAGCCTTTGGGAAAATACTAATCTATTTCCAAGGATTTGACTATTCTGAATATTTTATACCAATATAACCATAAAAAATAAAACAACAACAAAAAGAACTTAGCCTTGTGGGCTGAGGAGATAGCTCAGCGGCTAAACCACCTGCCTGGCAAGTGCAAGGTCATGAAATCAATCTCTGGTACCGCAAAACAAAACAAAAAACCAAACCATGGCCTTTTGTGTTGGGCTTCTTTCGCTTTCTTTCTTTTCTTCTTTTTTTTTTTTAACATCAGTTATTTTATTTTAAAGAAAAAAATGGTACAAAATCTCAAAACAAGATTTTAGCAGAGTAACAATGGTTAGTACATTGTGTATTGTTACTGCCAAAGTAGTTTCTCATATTACAAGATATAGGCAAGAAATAATAAATAAACAACATAGGTACAAACCTCTGTTTTTTTTTTAAAGTCAACAGAAAATGGAAATATACTTTTTAAAGTTT